TTTGTGCTAAACTTTCAAATGAGAAAAGACTGTTTTAAAAAAATGGTTAATTCAAATTTTATCAGGGTTCGAAGACTTAATGTTTGAGCGAGCGTTTCTTTCGTGATCAGGTAAAAATTGTTACAACTTGTGTGACGAAAGACATGACTTACCTCAGAATTCGAAACGAGCGCGAACGTGTCTTGCCTGCAAAGTAATGACAAAAAGAAATATGGCCGCTATTGAAGACACAATTTATGCGTGCCTATCTCGTCCAAAACGAGACGATATTTGCAGACATGCAAATTTTGGCCGTCCCCGAATAGCATAAAAAGCGGGGTGCCAGCAGCGGCAGGGGTCAAGGAGTCATTCGGCGGACTGTGTGTAATGGAGCTGGACGTACGGATTGACAGACGGACAAAGAGGAAGTCGAAATAGGCGCGGCTGAGTTTGTTGTCTGTTTCACAACTGCCCAGTGTAACGGCTGAAAAAGGGAGTCACGAAATCCATTTCCTTGAGGCAACCGAAGAAGAAAGAAGTCCCTCCCCCTCATCGTCTTTTTTTTTTCTCCTACAACTTGAGTGTGAACTTATTCTCCATGTTCATCCGGTATCGCCCGACCGAATTACAATCTAGTCCGGTTTTCACAGCGAAAGAAAAATTCTCTGGAAGACTACAAAAGGTACCGGTAGCAGTGTTTTATTGTTAAGAAAGGTAAAACATTCTGTGAAGATGGAATTATGATGTCAAAAAGATGGCAGCATATACTATAGCAATATGATGACGTGTGTCGAAACGAATGCCACTAACCAGGCAACTGAACCATTAAACATCTGTCACTGTACTATATACGAGGTCTGTCTGAAAAGTAATGGCACTGTGTTTTGCATGAGTTATGGGCAAAAGAGGTATAAGCTGATTGTGTTATCATTTAACATGATATCTTGGGAGTATATAACTGTAACCTTAGCGTTTACTTCGCTCAGTGCACAAGAAGTGATGAGAGTTGTGGTAAGGCAAATCGTAGCTGCTTCACTACCTTCAATACATCTGCTCCCAATGACGTGAGCATCCGGCAGTTCCTGACGGAGAAAAACCTTGCCTTGTTGGAACAACCACCCTACCCACATGATCTTGGACCGTGTGACTTTTTTCTTTTCCCCATGATCAAGGGGGTCATCAAGGGGACTCGTTTTGAAGGCGTGGAAGCCATCAAGTGGGACGAAACGACAGAGCTGGGTCGTTTCCAAGAAGAGTCCTTCTAGCAGTGCATAGAAGCATGGCTGGATGGAAAAGTGCATTAAATTCAAGAGGGAATACTCTGAAGTTTCTTTGGAATTGTAATACATTGTTTGTGACCCCAGTTCTCTTAATTTTCAGACAGACGATAGACAAGGTTTAGTTTCATACCAACTAGCTTTTAATGCCCGTCACGGCGCTTGTTTTTCTCTTTCAGGCACAATTTTAACCTAGTCAATTTTATTAGTGTCGTTTTAATAAATTCTTCTTTTGCATATTTGTCCAATTTTTGTATTACCAATTTCAGCGCCATGTTTGTCATTTTGATTGGAAATATTTTTTTATTTTAGAGGCACTTCATACATGAATCTATTTTTTTCCTGACGTCTCTTATATATTTTGTCTCCCATTAAATTCTTCTGTTTCTTGTGATTTCTCGGTTTTCTTTGAGTTTCTTTGATTCGTGCAAATTACGTTTCCATTTCAATATTTTCATTGCAATATCGATACATTTTTTCGTTTTTTTTTCATTTAATTCCTTTTTCTTTCTTTCTTTCTTTCTTTCTTTCTTTAGCCTTTATGACTAATATTTTCCTCATTTTTGCAATAAACTTCTTTCTCATACTTTCGGCTGCTTTATCTCATAACCTTTCTTTATTATTTTGATCTGTTTCTCCCCGAATCTGTTCTTCAGTTTCCTGGACATTTTGTTTCCCTTATTTTCATTCTTGTTATTTCTTATATCATTGCCGTTAAGCTGGCCGAGTGGTTAGAACGTTGTTTTCTGTCCATGAGGCGCGGGTTCGAATCTTACCATGGTCAGGAAAAAGACTTCCTTATTTTATCGGAATGGATCGAGGTCGATCCCAGCGTGTGGTGCCTTTGGAAAGTACCTGAAAACCATACCAAGACTTGTGAGGGAAATTGAGTAGACGGAACTCTTGAGGTCTGTCATTAGCTGCGCCATCGTGACCAAGGCCAAATTGTTGAGCACGCTAAAACGCTTTCTCGCAGAAACTCTAACTAAAGTGTGGGCTCTGTGGGTGTTGAGCAAATACAAATGTGTCTGAGCGAGCGTCTGTTAGACACCTGAGAAGACGGGTATCCTCAAATACGAAGGGTCAGCTATTATATATTATATTATTGTCGTTTAACTTAAAGATTATTTGCATGAACTCTTCTAAGTACTTGGCTCAACCTAATGTTTTTGTTGGTATTATTCAAATCATCAGCAACATCCTCACCTTGTGGTTTTGTTGGAAACTCCCTAGAATCTGAAATATGCATCTGTTTTAAATAACTTACAAAGGGTCGATAAAAAAACAAATCAATCGATTCTTTTTATTATTATTATTGATTAGTAATATTTGGTAGCAGTAAGTCGCTTCAGTATTCCAGGTCCCAAATCTTTACGTGTTGTTAGGGAGGGCAGCGTTTAAGTCAAAGAGCCACGAGCAAGAATTCACATGCTAAAATTAGTTTACGTCATCTTCACAGGTGGAAGAGCAAATTATTTTCTGGTGATACCTAGTGGCATCAAGGCCCCTTCTCACAGCATCAAGTTTGATATTCCAACTGATTTTATTAGTGATGAGCTGTCTGGATAGTACAAATTCCTTCTACTATCTTATTTAAACTTCGTGTAAATCTGTACGTGACTGTTCCGAGTGCGCTGAAAATGATGGGTAGCACTGTCAGATTCACACTGCAAACTTTTACAGTTTTTTTTTTTCTGAAAAGCCGATGGAATAACTAATCGTGGTTGATGTCATTTTTTCTTTTGCAGTCGTCAGCAGAATGAACGTCAAAAAGTCTTGTACACTCTCAGACAGAGTTCGTGAAAATGAACAGATTTTGGCGATAATGTTATACGATCCATAAACCCTACTGTATTATCATCACCCATTGTCACTGCTACTATTTCTGTTGGGTTCTGTGACTTTCTTTCTTTCTTTCTTTCTTTCGTTCTTTATGTGGAGTTGGCATCTCACCAGATGACATCACCCGATAAAAAAAAAAATAAAATAAAATAAACGAGAATCAAAGAAAATTAAATAAAATAAAGAAATGACACAAATGAAAAATCTAGACAAAAAGAAACTAGAAAGTATATATATATATATAGATATATGTGTATGTGTGTGTATATGTGTGTGTGTGTATGCGCGTGTGTATATATATATATATGAGTGTGTGCGTGTATATATATATGTGTGTGTATATATATGTGTGTATATATATATGTGTGTGTGTATATGTGTGTATATATATGTGTGTGTGTATATGTGTGTGTATATATAGATATGTGTGTGTGTGTATATATACATATATCTGTGTGCGTGTGTATATATATGTGTGTGAGCGTGTTTATATATATGTGTGTGTATGTATGTGTGTATGCATATATATATATATACATATCTACAAACGTATATGTACATATATGTATGTATATATATATAAATTTATGTGTGCATGTATAAATATATTTATATGTATGTGTGCAGATATAAATATATGTATATATATATATGTGTGTGTGTATGTTTTTGTGTAGCTACAAGAAAATATATTTCTTTTGTTGTTCAATGATGTTTTGTGTGCAGCTTCTCTGTTTCCAGGGACCATATATATATATATATATATATATATATATATATATATATATATATATATATATATATATATGTGTGTGTGTGTGTGTGTGTGAGAGAGAGAGAGAGAGAGTGTGTTTGTGTGTATTTATATATAAATATATATATTTGTGTGCGCGTTTATGTATATATATTTATTATATATATGTGTGTCTGTGTGTTTATATATAAATATGTGTGCATGCGTTTATTATATATATATATATATATATATATATATATATATATATATATATATATATATATATAAAAATCTTACCTATATATATTTATGTGCGTGTAGGCAAAAAGGAAGAAAAGAAAAAACTGATTTCTAGATTTCTTGCAGTAAGAAATCAGCTAAAATATTTTTGTGTGCAAAAGATAAATAAAATAAAATGCAGCAAAGTCTATAAAAATGGAAGAAATGGAATTTGACGAGAAGGAAGCAAAATAACAAATAGAAAAGCAGATGAATGAGAAAAACGCTTTCAGGATAAAGAAAATGTAAACGTGACATTAAAAAAATGTCGTCACCAGAACAAAAATAGCAAGGACACCTAAAAAAGTAAATAATATGTTTATGTTTATAGCTGTAGTTGTTTGTCATTGTAAATATATGTGTTTATGCATGATTTTTTTATATATATATATATATATATATATATATATATATATATATATGTGTGTGTGTGTGTGTGTGTGTGTGTGTGTGTGTGTGTGTGTGTGTGTGTGTGCGTGTGTTTGTGTTCATTCAAAGTTATGCTTCTAAGTAATGCATCTACGTCTGGATAAATAGCTGTGTACGTCTGTGTATGTATAGAAGTCACAATGTTAGAGTAAAAATTTCATCTGTACACAATAATGTATGTATATATCTACATGTACGTAGGTCCCATTGATACGTACGTATTTACGGCGATCTCCAAAAATAAACATATGTAAAAAGAGAATTATTTGGAAATTCAAAACTTGGAATGCATTATATTTCTTAGAATGAATTTCAATGAGTTGAACAATCGAGAAAAATTCAGTGTTCTTTGGTGTTCAATATATGCGACTGTATGGACAGTCTGATTTATGCAGTGATAGCGGGTACAGATTGTCAAGAAAATTGATTTTATTTTAAAATGTAAAAAAAAAAGAAAATTAAGAAAGAAAGAAAGAAAGAAAGAAGAAAAGAAGGAAGGAAAGAAAGAAAGAAGAAAAGAAGGAAGGAAAGAAAGAAGGTAAGAAAGAAAGAAGGAAGGGAAGAAATGACTTAGACATGGGTAAGTTAAATTTTAATCAAACTGTAGTGAAAGTTGGACACTTCGAGGTAGTGTAATGGTTAGCATAATTGTCTCTCTAGATCTATTATGACTGAAAAGGGAGTTCGATCCTCACTGGGTGCATCATACCGGCGGCTTTGTGCCCTATATTTTCGGCCTTGTGCCACATTCAAGCTACGCTTAGAAAATTACCATATTGTGGTAACAGTTGAGCACTTCGACATGGTGTAATTGTTAGCAGGCTTGTATTGATAGATCAATTACGACAGAATGTTCAGTTCAATTCTCGCTGGGTGCTCTGTACTTTCGGTCTTGTACCATATATACACACAAACATCCACATTCGGGTCGGTGCACACACCAGATTCAGCAATTAAAACATGAAATGATTTGGTATAAAGGATGTTCCTTTTCGAAAACATCTTCCTAAGTTTTTTTTATTGTTATTTCTCCTGATGATAACCATGCTAGCCGAAACTAGTCGAGGAACCTAATTTAAATAATAAACAAAATTATTAATATACACCCCAGTGTGTATGAAATTTGAGTTTTTTTTTATTGTTAAAGACAGATTGTGCATCTAGACACATTAGACGCCAGAAATTTTAAATTTAAATTTAACTTTATGCGCCCCGTCATTTTCAGCGTTTCTTTTGATCCATAATTATTTCCAACGTTTGTTGTATTTCGTTCTCTCCGCCAACATATATCCGATTGCATCAATAAAATCCTTATTTAGCCTGAAGAAGTCCTTCCGTGGTATGAAACGCATCACAAGGGAATTTTTTGTCATTCAATTATGCACCACAAGTTCGTTAAATCCACTTTCGTGCAGATAATCTTGGGAATGGTAGGAATTCATATCTTTCTTCAGCCCCCGTTATGGCTTAAATAGCAGTGTAGACTGGCCTCTTCAGCGTTTGATATTAGCCACTTTAAGAGAAGTACAACTCTGAATAAAAAAACAAAAAAAACAAAAAACAAACTACGACTGAAGCATTGTCATTTTCAACGTACTCCTGTTGCAGCCTCGTATACTTATTTCAGCATCTTTTACGTTTCTCAAAACAGTGTGTTTCATCCTTCGTCGACTACTCATTAATCTCGTCTAAAATCTGTCATCTCCCGCCACAGCAAGTGGCAATTTTAGATTTAGGAGAAAAGTCTGGATTTGCAAGGCGCCAAATCGGGACTGTAGAACGGAGAATGATAGCCTTGGTGTAGTATGTAATTCACGGCAGAAATTACAAGAGGTTTGAATTTAGTTTCAATCATGTAGCTGAGTTGATCTGTGGTCACCCCAATATGTGCTGGGTTCATCCTAAATGATACCAAAGTAAGTTTTGTAATTGGTGGCAGACAAGAACATAAAAAAACAGGTGCATCAGAGCGTTAACGTGGAAAATGTTAATATAGTCCCTAAGTGCAAAATCGAGATTTTAAGGACGTCAGTGGCTGCACCGGACAAAAACAGGAAGTCAACCTAGCTAAACATAGCATATAAATACACAACTGGATGGACATGTAATGGGAAATGCAGAGAATCTCACGTACTCACGGGAAGATTCGATCATTCCAGGTTACTTAAATGTTACAGAATGCGAAGACCAGAGCCAGATTGGTCAGTGATATTCCGACAGTAATGAACTGCCTCTGTGTGAATTTTGGATATAAGTCCAAAACGGCGCGTTTTCAACAGAGGGCTGCAAGAATTCTGAAGCGTCGATATGCCTCCCACAGCCAGGTTGAGAGACCGACTAAGACCACCCACGGAAGGACGCTGTGCAAACGAGCGACATGTGTTTCTGTGACGTCATTCCTCCCGCTGACTCTCAGAATCCAAGCCGTCAAAAGTTTCTCCCAATAAAACGATTACGAAAAAGCAATTGACCTTTTCGTTGATATTAGGTTGGTGCAAAAATAATGACGTAAAAATGTCGTTTTTTGACGTATATTTTAACGTCAAAAAACGACATTATTACGTCATTATTTTGCATCAACCTAATACCATTTTATGTAGTTGCGTGGGGACCCAGAAGCGACACACAGCGTAACGTAAATTAGAGATCCTCATGGGCAACATTAAGTTGATAGAGTCCAAAATAGATTAAGCAATAATTTCACGTATGAAAGATTTAGTTTCGTTTTTTTTTTATTAAACCTAAAGTAACTTTATAGATGCGATGTTATTTAAAAAGAAAATGTGCTAGAAAATGCATAGTCATTACCAGTACGATGGTTAACATGCTTATTTAATATTTTCTCACTGCCAATTGAGTCGACCTACAAGAGTGTATCTGTTCACGCATGTGCAGAACAGTTACCTACTGACTGGTTTCACCAATGTCTTTCAGTGTGTTCTTCAGGTATTTAATACAGTTGGATATTTTCGAGTTAGATACATTCACGCACATACGCGCATATATACAGTTTATAGTTTATTAAATATAAATTCCCCGAAAAATGTTTTTTTTTATTTTTTAATTTTTTTTACTGGTAAACCATATTCCTGGAAATTTAATTTTGTAATAATTTAATTCCAGAAAAGCAAATCGATTGGAGATTATCAAACTGTACCGTGAGGTGCAACGAGTTTACGTTGTGAAGAAAATGTCTTGAAAAGGTTGATAAAAGAAAAAAAGGCATTCTCTCCAAAGATTTAAACAATGAAAAAAGCCATAAAATTATTTAGAATAACAATCACATTAATTCACGTAATTATATCACCGTAAAGTAATTATATAAATCTTGAATTCGATAATATAAACAGATAACTGACATAAAACAAAGTTAAAACTGACGTTCCTACAAAATATCTCGATATTCTTAAAATTCAAAGGGTCTTTATTGTAAACGTGTCCTGTCATAAAGTAAAGTGCCATGCGGATTTAAATTTTTCCCACTTGTGACGAATGCAGCTATCGATTTTTTTGCATGCTAGCATGCTAGTTAATATTCCTGTCTGTCAGCTGTTGGCTCTCACGCTGGCCAATAGAATCTTCCTGCCTATTCGTGGCAATCAGCTGTAGGCTCTTACTCTGGCCAGTAGAAAATGGCCGCAAACTACATGAAAACTGCCGTAGAGGCATGAAAAATCGATTATTTCCACTATCGATGGGAGTTGGTAAATACAAAGTCGTTCTTGGCCTTTCCACTAAATTGGAGCATGTGCATGTAAATTTTGATGTAAATCCGTGGAAAATTGCGGCCGTGCATTCGTTACACACACACACACACACACACACACACACACACATCCTGCCTTTTATAGATAGAGATTTAACATAATATAATGTAATATAACATAACACAAATATATGAGCAGCAATCCCTCTTTTATACAAGTTTCAATAAAAACGACTGACAAGGTAATACGGTTAAGTTTTTTTATTTAATTTTTCTGATGTTCTTATAATTTTCCTCCTTTTTGGACATAAATTATGTAGAAATTGTCCGAATGTTCTGTATGTCCGAGCACTTTCAGCTATACATTTAGTCATTATCAAGGGGGATTTTTTTTTACATTTTACTGAATGTATGGATTAAAATAATCATAAAATCATCGATTAGTTCGATGTAATCGTAAATTCTATTCTAATAGTTTCTTTTTTTTTTTTTTTGTTGCATTTTTCGCATGTGGAACGCTCTCCCACAATCTTGCTTCTCTGTTACATACAATCTGTCTTCCTGAAGTCTGTTTTATTTTTCTTAAGGATGTTTTACCTCCTCACCATATTAGTTCAATTATCTAAAAATATTTAAAATGTCAACGCGACGTTGAAAACATACGTCGAAGCTGTTGGAAGTGAAAATAAGTCAAAACGTTCCAGAAAATATTCGAAAGGAACAATGTGATAATTTAGGTAAGTACGTCCATAATCATAATCATCGGTCCAATAAAAAAAACATTGGCCAGTAAAGACAATGTGTCGATTGCTAGAAATTTGAGCCTTATATGCATAATAAAAAAGGCATTTTTCCGGATCAATTAGCTTCGATTTATCGAACTGCGCCATTTTAGAACGAATGATAGAATTTTAGAAAGAATGGCGTAAATATAACTAAAAAGAAACAATTTTCTCGACAGAAGCAATTTAAAAAATTTTTTAAGTCTACCATTTGTCCTTGCTTTGAATATTCCTGCCACATTTGATCCGGTGTGCCTGATATGTATTTAAAGATTCTTGATAAAATCTAAAGAAGCATCTGTAATGTTATTGGTTCTGACCTGGCATCTCAGCTTCAGTCACTTTCCCACTGCCGTAACGTAGCTTCCCTGTGCCTTTTCTGTAAATACTTCCATGCTAATTGTTCTGATGAACTTTCTTCTATGGTACTTAGACTTTCTGAATTTAAGCGCAGTACTAGATTAGCGGCTAGGTCTCATCATTTTACAATTGAAATGGCTAGCTGTAGCCGTAACTTCTATGTTAACAGTTTCCTGAATCCTGTTTGCCTTTCATAAATTTATATACATACATACATTTGAAGAAAAATATATACGGAAAAAACAAGCAAAAATCCTTATATACAATTATGCTGTTTTAATGTTAATATGTCAACGTCGGACGTTTCGGTCTAATAAACCATCTTCAGGACATATTCATAAAATATAATTAACATTATCAATACAACATGACAAAGACGATGTACATAAGAACAAGACTTATCCAAACAGAATAACTGAAAGTTTTATAAGATCAGCCCTCCGTTTAAAACATGGTCACGTTGTCGTCACGTGGGCGACGCTGTGAAATGAATATGTCCTGAAGATGGTTTATTAGACCGAAACGTCCGACGTTGACATATTAACATTAAAACAGCATAATTGTATATAAGGATTTTTGTTTGTTTTTTCCGTATATATTTTTCTTCATACTGTCGGATCTATATCCATATATTTGCTTACATACATACATTTATACATACATATAACATCGTAACATTAGTTGGCCAGTAAAACAATGTGTGGATTTCCTGACAATTAATTTCTCTTATTGCTAGAAATTTGCTTAATAGGCGGTATATACACGAGGTATTTTCCGGATCAATTAACTTAGATTTATCGAACTGTGCCATTTTAGAACGAATGCTAGAATGTTGTCTTCTTTCTTGTTAATTCTTCATCTTTTATTTTACTCTCTCCTTAACAGTAGTTTATATCATATTCTCTAACACACAGTAACCTCTTGCGTCTTAGTGGCTCTATTACCTTGTTCGGGATGAAACGATTAAAAAGACATTCCGTAGCTTCAGGTGCACCAGCTATCTAGGTGATTTTAAATTAAATCGAGAGGTGGAGCGTTTAAGAAGCTTACCAACACAAACTTTGCTAAGCAAACGTTGAATTAGAAACAACAATGCAAAGATCTAAGCATCCAAGCAATGTTCGATATTTCTCGGACTCTGTTAAAATTTTATTATATTTCTGAAATTTTATATTTTTAAAATACAAAAATCTTGGCGATCATGGCTCCCCAGAAATTCCTTTTCTTTGTTATCTATGAATTATGTCTTCTTTTTCTTAGACTGTCTGCCATTCTAATCTATCCTGCTATTTAACGTATAGCTAGTGAGGAGATTAGATATAATCATGCCTTTACTAAGAGCTTTCGTGAATTCCGCTCACAGCTTCCACTTCCGTGCTGCTAACCGTAATGACACACGCACATTCATGCAACCCTATCCACTAGTATTATTGTAATGGTGACGGTAATAGTAATATTAACCGTTTCCTTATAAGGAAACATTCGGCATTCATTAACCGAGCAATCATACTGCGTTCGGTTGAAATTTATCGTTCTATTAAAAAAAGATACAGAAAATATGTTTCTCAAGTTTAGTAACTTTTACCAAACTTCTCAGTATTGATAGGGGTTTCCTTCCTAACCTTTTGTTCGAAGTACTGTGGAACGCCAATATCTTGATTTTGTCATTATTCTTTTTTCTAGTTACACGTGATATTCATTTCAGTAGTTGTTGTAGTTGAATGTCACCAAGTGATGTAGTTTTACTTATTTCGTACTGTTCGTTTATTTACACTTTTTACATTTTTCGGACTGTCATCCTCATCTTTTCGGACTGTCATCCTCATCTTTTCGGACTGTCATCATCATCTTTGTTCATGACGTTTCGGACGTTATACGCTCCTTCTTCTTCGGGTGATTGGAAGTTCGAACTGAAATCTTTATTTTATCCAGATTGGGTAGATTGCTCTACTTCCACGTGTCATGCCTCTTCCGGATGTTTCAATATCAGTTATCTCCCTTTAACTGTACTATCTAACTTTTCTGTTCACCTTAGCTCTAGCTTGGTATTGAACTCACGATTCTTTGGGTCAAGTCACTGGATTCAACCAACGCTTTTATCCACTGGGCCATCTTCTCCGTTTGTGATTCTGTAGCGCCAGTACACTAGATTCGAAGAAGTAGGAAATTCACTAAGACCTACAGGTTTCATTCATTCAAAGCCATTTTTATTCATTGATCTCAGAAAGTGGTTGTATACAGCTGATATATATTTCTTAACGGGTTTGGAGCCATGCATGACATCCATATGAAATTTACGATCTGATGAGGCTATAATGACCTTTAGTGGCTGTCAGTGACAGAAGATCTCTCGAAATCATACTTATTATAAAGCCCAGGTTGTGTGTGTGTGTGTGTGTGTGTGTGTGTGTGTCTGTACGTTTATATATTGGATCGGATTTCCTACATTTTTCAGCCGATTTCAACAAAACTTCACAGGACTACGTAAAATTACCTTGCGGTGGTTCTGACAGCGCTAAAAATTGGAAAAACACAATTGTTTTTGCACGAAATCAATTTGAAAACACGATTAAGAGGTATCGTGAGAATGAAAGGGGGACAACTCATATCGAGTTATACTTATAAAACCCAGGTTGTTTGTGTGTCTGTGTTCGTTTATATATGGGATCGGATTTCCTACATTTTTCAACCGATTTCAACAAAACTTCACTTTTTTTTAGCAGGTAGTGTTTCTTATTGTCTTGCTCACTTTTTTCTTTATTTTTACATTCAGAATGCTTTAAAAATTCCATTTACAAGGCAATTGCTTATAATAAAATTCTATTCAATCGATAGACTCATAACGATTGAAAACAATGTTTTTGTTTGAGTTTGGGTTTGGCTAATTCGTAAAAAAAAAAAACCCAAAAAACAAAACAAAAAAAAAACTAATTAAGACATGCGTATCCGTCAACCTTAAACAATAATCTTTGTCAATTTTATTTTTCAGCCTCATCATGGTCGATACTTGATCTATCTTTTACTGTTACATCCCCGGGCAACGCCGGGCTCTACTGCTAGTCCTCATTATTCTCAATAAATGCCCTCGTCGTTAAACGTTACATTTTTTCTTTGTCTATTCCTTCATTTATCATTATTTAGATGTATTGTTCTTTTACAAGAATAGCAACGAGTGACTTTCCTTGGAGATTAAGTGACAGGGAATCTCCTCAGTACTCCTTACTATACTCTCTGACATTAGTAATGCAGTCGTAAAGGTGGTTTCTTTTATTATTTTTATTTCTAGGACATCTAGCTTTCTTGCAAGGTTTCTCGGAACTGTTCAAAGTGCGCCACTGATGATGGGTAAAATGAATTCATTCATTTGTTTTTCAATTCTCTAGAGAGACGCCACTTGGCGTCACCATAGTTTGCCTGGACGTTTCGTCTAACCTGGTGAATATCTACGAGCGTTCTTAAATTTAAATATTTTGGTAACCCAGTAACATTTTCGCTCTTGTATATAAATATTTATTACAGAATGAATTCTTGCATTTGCCTTGGTAAAGTCCTTCAGAGGACGAAACGCATCGCCTAAGATAAGGTTTCCTTTTGTTTTTATTCAAATAAGCAATTGTTTTGCTGATATCATTTATAATTAAATTGTTTAGAAATTCAAATAAAACCATTTCCTTTATCCTCTGAGTGATATATATTAAATAATGAACTGCAAGTAACGGCAGCGGAGTGCAGGTAACAAAAGAAAGGGTGGTAACCAGCGCACCGCAAGGTATTGTTAATAATAATAATAATAATAATAATAATAATAATGAAAGCTAATCGCCCAGACATCGGGATCAGAGACCGCAAAAGCACAATGTGGCTTCTTATTGATATATCAGTCCCCGCAGAATGCAACGTACCATTGAAGATCTTAAAAAAAACAAAAAAAAACTATCAAAATATAAGGACCTTGATATCGATATCTAAAAAATGTGGCACATGGGGTCATCAACAATACCATTTGTAGTTAAGAGTCCTCAGATTGGTTGGAAAAGATTCTGATAGACTAATTGAAGAGATTCTTGGTAGTCCAAGCCTTAAAGAAATATAAAAAAAATTGTACTAACAAGTAGCCGACCCCTTACTAAGGGCGTTATCTATATAAAATGTATTTAATCCTAGGTTGTTTTTTTTTATTCTTCCTCAAAAATTACTCAGTGGAAAATGTCATGATGCCATTTCTGACCTTAGGTCTCTGGTTATAACCCGGAAAGAAATGAGTGATACAACAGAAATCAAATCAAATCAAATCAAAATAATACTAATAATTCGTAAATTAAAGAACATCAAATTCTTTGGGACTTTGATTATATTCATTCCCCCTGTCTGCTGGAATGGCTTAGCATTTGCTGGGGTTCAGATAAGTCTTAATCCTCCTCCTCCTCCTCCTCCTTCTTCTTCTTCTTCTTCTTCTTCTTCAAGCAAAGTCGACCGCTTGGGAATACCAGGGGCTGTAGACTTGAATGTGCTGTTGATGCAATGGATAACGCCTCGTAATTGGAAATCGGAGAGCCGAGTTCTAATTCCACTCAAGTTCTTTATATTCGTTTGTCTGCGGTCCTTGTTGTGACTTGACAGATAACTTAATGTACCCGGTGTATTCAAAAACTTATAATGTGTGACAAAACATATAATAATAATAAAATTGTTTTCACAAAATCAAAAAAAAATGTTCTCACAAATACAAAAAAAATTGTTCTCACAAGGATAGCAATGCCTTACGAAGGGTTTTATCTATGTAAAATATGTGTGATTTTTTTTATATTTTTCGTTTTTCATTTTTTTTCAAAACTGCTTAGTGGAAAATGTCATGATGTCATATCTGACCTTAAGACTCTGGTTGGGACCCGCAAAGAAATGAGTGTACACCAGAAATCAAAGGAAATAATAATAATAATAATAATAATAATAATAATAATTATTATTATTATTATTATTATTATTATTATTATTATTATTATTATTATTATTATTATTTATGTTCATTCTGGTATTATTGTTGCTTTTGGGGTAGATGGAATGACTTTAGCAGAGTAACAACCATGATGTATATATGATAAATAATTTACTTACTAACGAGTTAAGGTTTAACTTGCTGTTATTTTTCTTTGTGTCTTTGAAAAACATAAATTCCAATTATGTCATTATTAAAACTCTTACTGATATTACTGTCATTGCTTTAATTATTACGATTACGATTACATGGACTATACCACTGAATTGTTGTTACTATTACGAGGTTTCTGTTTTGTTATTGTTGTTGATCTTCTTGTTCTTGTTCTTGTTCTTCTTCTTCTTCTTCTTCTTCTTATTATTATTATTATTGTTATTATTAATGTATTCTCTTATTTATTTCATTGATATTTGAATATATTATTGTTTTCTACAATAATAATAATAATAATAATAATAATAATAATAATAATAATTATTATTATTATTATTTCCTGTGCTTTTTTGCCTTCTTTCGGCGAGGGTCTCTAGCCTCTGTCATCTCAAGTCAGTCCGAACAATTACAGTAAACAGGACAACGTAGAAGACAAAAAAAGAAAAATCCTTCTCGGAGCGGTTGTTGTAGGTTAACGAGACCAACACATTTTTTTTTTTGCTCCTTTTGCCTCTGGAACATCCGGGATGACGAAAATGTTCTCCACATACACAGAGAGAGAGAGAGAGAAAAAGAGAGAGAGAGGGAGAGAGAGAGGGAGAGAGAGAGAGAGAGAGAGAGAGAGAACGTCAGAACGCTTTCCTTAGCTTGTACATCGTCTGGCGGCATAAGACAAGAAAGCCACGTTCATATCTGAGGCCAGTGATATGGCGCGTGGCTTGCTGCGTGTTGTGCAAGAAGAAAAAAAAAATTGAAAGAGTCCGAGGTATCTTAACAAAAATAAAAGAAGTTGGTTGGAAGCGAAATGGAGATATAACAACAGCAATAATAATGAGGGGACGCAGATAACAGTAATAATTAGAACAATAATTATAGCCGCAAGAACAAAATAATATTAATTGCAACAAAGATGAGAAGTTTCAATATGGCGGACGGTAGATTGTACGAAACAAAAAAGAAAAGCGCAAGCTTATGAAAATTATTTATTGCTCTAAGATGATGCTGATGGCAACCAATCAATTATTCGATGACAGTATTACATTTTGAGAAACCGAAAAATGTCTATTTGTGCCATGTATTTGCTTAGAATTTAAAGTTATTTATATGATAAAATAATCAAAATAATCAAAAAAATAAAAATGGAGATCATTTTACTTACTAATGTTGGTAATCTCTGCCCTTTGTGTGGTTAGTTTTTAAGTAAATACAAGATTGTTTTAATTTGGGAATCAAACAGCGCATCACCATGGAACAATGGTTAGCAAGTTAGTCACGCAAACCATGAAACTGTAAATCAGTTCAATCTGCTCGATCTTTACGGATTATTTAATACTTATACTCTTGCGCCATACTTGGTTGAGTTGTATGACTGAAATAAATACGATGGTGTTTTAGTCTAGCTAAAGAAAACAGCATGTTAAATTTCAAGGCAGGCAAAACCACTATATTTGGGCAATTGAAGAAGCTGTGGAGAGTCATGTTCACTTACGTTCTGGAGGGACATGGCATTAAAAAAAAGTCAACTTCAAAGAATTAAGCGGTGTGCTATTTTGACTGTGGTGTAATAGATATCGGCTCGAAATGAAAACTCGGAGGGCCGAGTTCGAATCCCACTCGATTTCGTTATATTCACTTAACGCACAAATACACTTCGGAAAGGTATGAATTCATCTCTTCTCCCCCAGCTATGGGTTGAATAGCAGGTCAGACTGGGTTCTTCAGTTCTTGGTTGGCAACCAGTCTACCGTAGAAAGAAATGGCAACCTACTGCAGGAAAAAATCTTCTGCTTAGTCAGTCATGATCGCCTAACCGTGTATCCCGTGTGGCACTTAACAGACTGACTGACTGTTTTACGGTGTTTCTAGTAAACAATTATCATCAACCTATGAGCGGGTACATGTTTATTTAGAAAGTGAAAACCTAATCAGTTCATTTGAAGTGATATACAAAGGTAATTGCTATTGGCCTAGGATAGAAAACACATTTTCGTATAAGAATGGCCGTGAATAAAAAATCAACATTTAGTAGGACTTAAGATAAACCTTTCTCAAAACAGAAGCTATGACCTGGAATTGGAATGAGAATAGTGATGGTCTATAAAAATTTAAGATGTTGAACCACTAAAAATAACTGACTGTATGAAGCAGTTAAGACAGATGGAAGATACAGATTAAATAAATTACATTTGAAGCACTTTTGTCGAACGTCATAAGATGTTCAGTCAATCAGTTATGTGCCATGCGTGATACAGGCATAGGCGGCCATTTACCTTTCGATACACGACTAACAAGGCAGATTTTTTTTCCCGCATTTGACCTTTTCTTTCCAGTTGACATCCAAGGCTATAGAACCCGATCTGTCCTGATATTTACCTATAGCTGGGAAAAGAAGAAGAGGATTCATACTTTTCCCAAGGGTATTAGCACGTAAGTGAATTTAATGGATTTGATTCGGATTCGAACTCGGCTCTACGATTCATCAATCCGGGCCACTATCCTTTACTCCTTCGCGACATAAGATGTTACAAAACCAAAATATTAACCTGAAAACTCTAGTAATATTCTTAAATAGCATTGTCAGATTGTAACAACAACACCGATCGAACACTGAACTATCACCAATCTCGATGAGTGGATGTTCCCCCATCATCATCATCTTGCGGCCTAAGCCGAGATTGAACTCACCAATACTTTGATTGGTGTAGTTCATAATCTTGTCAAATAGCTGAATTCTTGATGCTTCGCTAGGGCTATCAAGGGTGTTTTTATCGTGACACCAAAACTTAATGGATTGCCAACCAAGGCTCAGAGAGACTCCATTCACCAGAGCAGGTTTGAATTCAGAGTTTTCCTTCTCCTAGACCAGTTGCCATCCAAGGCTACAGAACCCAGTCTATCCTGCTATTTACCCATAGCTGGAGGGAGAAAAAAGAGGATTCACACCTTTCCCAAGGGTGTTAGCACGTAAGTGAATGTAATGGATTCGACTGGAATTCGAACTCGGCTCTCCTATTCCTCAATCCAAGCCGCTATCCATTACTCCACCGTGTCTCCTCTAACTTCCTGGATGTTCCCCCAGGAAGGCCCTATGACTTGAGCGCCTATTGGGTTTTAAAATCAACCAAGACCTGAAGTGGAGCTCATATGTATGATCCATCGCCAAAGATGCTGGAAAAAGGATCGGTTCTCTGTACCTCTTGGAGTAAATACCTGACTTCATGTGCTCTCCAGTGTCTTTACAAGAGCCAGATCGGGCTTGAAATGGAGTAATGCTGACATATATGGGCACTTTCCAGTCTTGATAGAGTACAAAAAGTGCCTCCGTGGCCTTGTGGGTGCTGAATTATTTTCCATACAACCCCTTTCTCACAGACGAAGAGTGGAAAAGCCTCTCGTAGCTCTATCGCTATTTTCATGGAAAGTACTCAGATGAACTACAGTCCTTAGTAACCACCAATTCTAACCTTCACGGCTAAGACGCACCATGCTAAGCACATTGTAGCGAACCTCTTCGTATTCCTTTTTTGAGATGTATATTCCACACGAGCTGCTTCTTTCCGCGCACCACAGCTCTGCGGAACCAATTCCCAAGAGGATGTTTTCCCGATTACAACAATCTTATCTTCTTCAAGTCTAGGATTAATCGTTATCTTTCCCACATATCCGCATAAACTCTGCCTCTTACTCTGTAACCCTCTAGCTTGAGTGGCTCCCGGGCCTTGAACATCACTGTAAAAAAAAAAAAAGACTGTCATATACATGTCATGCATTGCATTCAACTCATCCAGAAATGTCAAAACTATTCCCAGATCGATGATAAAAATGGTTTCAAACAAATGAATCCTTTACGCTTGAAAAAAAGAGAACCATTCCCTTGGATCTGATAGACTGGCGCTACAGAATCACAAAGAGCTTTACCAAAGTGCAAAACTACATCACTGCAAAACTTCCACAAGAAGCAATAATTAAAATGAATAGCACATGTAACTCGGAGAAAAATAATAGCTTACGGCCAAATCACGTTGAAACACAGGTTCCTGTACGATCACCGAAGTTAAGTAACATGGAGTCTCGTCAGTATCTATATGGACGAACGCTTCGGAATACCAGGTGCTGTAGACTTAGATGTACGTGTCCAAAGTTCCAATTCCCGTTTGAATTCGTTATATCCCGAGTAATTGCGTGCAATTACTTGGGAAATATATGAATTCACCTCTTCTTCCCTATCTATTGGTTAATTAGTAAGACTTGTATCATTAAACCATTATTATTTTTAAAAAATTCTTAAAATCTAAAATATTTTTGGCCTTAAATAACCTGCAAAGGGTGGATCAGCTGTAGAAAAAGAATGAATAAGAAAAGGAAAAATAATAATATAATCAAGGTGTTCACTATCCACATTAAACCAAAGGAGAGAAGGGAAAATCCTATCACTACTTAAAAGAGAGTGTAGGGACATTATTATTATTAATAAACTAGCAGCATGGCCCGGCGTTGCCCGTGCTTGATTCAAAAATCGTACGACTCATACAGCAATCGATATCACTTGACTTAAAATATTTTTAGCCTTCCTTGCCTTTAAAGGAGTGCCCTTTGCCGTGCTGATGTTGCAACATGCCTTACTTCTTGCCTATCTCACACTGCAAATTTTTTCTAAGCTCTATACTAAACATTAAATCTGTTACGAAAAAAGAACTAAACAAAATGAACACAAAACGATCAGCTTTAAAAAAGGACTCGTAACTAGAAAAAACAAATGAAAAAAGAATGTTAACAACAAATACTTTTTCACACCCAACCCAGTTCTGCGGAATCAGAATCAACGTTGAGTTTAAGCAAGCGAATGAGCCAATTGGAGTAAAGTGCCATGCAGATTTAAATTTTCCCCACTTGTGACGAATGCAGCTATCGATTTTTTTTTTGCTCGGTAGCATGCTAGTTAACATTCGTGTCAGTCAGCTGTTGGCTCTTACGCGGGCCAATAGAATCTTCCTGCCTATTCATGGAAGCCAGCTATAGGCTCTCACTCTGGCCAGTAGAAAATGGCCGCAAACTACATGAAAACTGCTGTAGTGGCATGAAAAAATCGATTATTTCAACTATCGATGGGAGTTGGGAAATGCAGAGTCGGTCTTGGCCTTCCCGCTAACTTGGAGCATGTGCATGTAAATTTTGGTGCAAATCCTTCGAAAATTGCGGCCGTACATTCGTTACACACACACACACACACACACACACGCACACATCCTGCCTTTTATAGAGAGATAAAAATGGAAATTTAATAATAATAATAATGAATATCATGAATAAAATAAAATAAAAGAAATAAGATTAAAACTTTGTTTAAAATAAATGAAATAAAACAAAATAAAGGTTCTTCCAGAATGCAACAGAAACATTTCCTGCCTGAAAACGTACTTCACGCCAAACTCAGTCTCTTTCGTGATCGACCATTGGAAAGTCAGACGTCCATTTCCTCACCTCGGAACGTTGCTTGTCATAAAACAAAGTGACTTCTTCCTTTTATCAGTCAGTCAGTAATGTGCCATGAGTGATACACGCTTAGGCGATCATGTCTCTTTGGAGACATGACTGACGAAGCAGAATTTTCCCGCAGTATGTTGCCATTTCTGTTTGCGGTAGACCAGTTTTCATCTAT